ATCGAGCGGATAATATTTCAAACGAATACAAGAGCTGCATCTGAAGTAGCCCGGTATCATTTGGGAATGAAAGAAATATATTATGGATAGGATCGTGTTCACCTTCCGGTTCCTTCTTTCTTTCCTTCGAACAATTTCACTCGCGTGTAGACTACGGAATAATTGTTAATCGATAAACTTGGTAAACAGGTTATTTTTAATTTTCTTTGAAAAATAATTTTCATATAATATAATGATAATTATTACAAAGGGATGAGCTTCGGTGCGAAACGGAACTTATAGACAAGCTTCTGGTAGTCTACCTGAACTTAATAATCCGGTGTGCAAAATTGAGATTATGAAAACGGTAATGTGCGCAACGAGGTTCCGCAATAACCAGCACTATTCAGAAAGACTCTCACTACCGGTTTTATGCATAGAAGCATTCTTCAACGAGAACGTTAACACAATGTGTGCACTGGCATACCCACCGAGGGGAACTAAATCTTTGTGCAAACAGATGGAACAACATCGTGCAGTAAAGTGAATAATGCTGCGAGGGAATGTTTGCTGGTATCGTGAAGAACATTGCTTGACATTGCAACGAGAAAAATTTCAAGCACACTGTTCCGTTCATTCTCACGTGTAATATTTATGTGAAAGTGATTGATTTCATAAAAATTGCACGAGACAAAGTGTTAATATTTTTCTTCGTGTATGTTCCAGGTTATTTCTGATAGTTGGTCGATAGGCAAAGATGCACGTCTCATCGTGGATAACACGATCAATCTGGCGAGCAATGATAAATTCGATTGTGGCCAACTATAAGTTATACGTGGACGAGGCACCGATTTATCGTCGATATTCGATTAAATTTCTGCCAACCAGACAGTATCTTCGCTCCAGTGTATCGTTGCTTCGTCGGGGAAATGTCATGTGTTTGACGAACGTTCTGCGGCATTCTTTACCCCGTCAATTGATTGCATTCGATTTTGTATCGTTCCACTTTTCTACTCGCCAGAAGGACACCTCTCGACGTGCCTCGAGCGATACAGAATACCATTGTCCGGGATTTTACGTAAAATTATAGTTGATTAAATTCATAGATTTTCAGATTTTCTCCGGTATCGATAAATCTCATTGAAACGCGTAGATTTCACGCTGGAACGTCGCTGTTTCATTTTTACGACTAAAATTTGTGCCATTTGCAATATTTGTAACGGGAGGTATTAGCATGCGTGACATTTTTTCTAGATTAATCCCTTGAAATATTCCGCCGAGTTTGTATCGTGGGAGTAATAAAAATGGATTTATGAAAAGTAAACATATAAATTTACTCCTGCTTGAAAAGGGAAACAATTAATATTCTATAACACGCCTTTTTTTATATATTTGCTTGGAATTTCGAGCTTTCAAAGGGTTGATTAAAGCTCAAGAACAAAGCCGTATCGAAAAATGTCAAAATTTAATAGACAAGGATACTCAAAATTTGGTTAACAGATTAAGGAAAAACTGACGGGCACAATGTACACTGTAAACCGTGTCTCTATTGATTTTTCACATACCATAGTAATCGGATCAGCTTTCATTCAAGTTCACCCTACGGTATCAATCATCGACATTGAAAGGAACGTTGTTTAAACATCGAATGAATAATCAACCATCTAACTCTGTCAATTACAATCCGCTGAATATTGTTTATAAACTCCATGGAATACTCATAATGTGTTTAATAAATCCATTCTAAAAAACTGAACCCTTATCTTCCCATGATTTCCTTAATCGAGTCCGATGCATCCGAAGGTGCATCGAAAATCATAGCCATTTTGCAACAAACCGCTTTTGTGTTCGATGCATCAGCGATTGGAAATTGGATATTCGATATTCACTGTTCAAACAGCAGCCAACTGACTGCACACCCTTTCCATATATACCGAATAACAATAAAACGAGGGACTGTCTGAAGGTATGCATGCAACACGATAGGAATCCGGCGATGCCGAATTCCTGGTGCAACCGAATGCACGTCGTATTGTTGCAGAGGGAAAAACAGACGGACAACCGTTGGTTGGCCGACATTCGAGGTTTCCAATTACATTACTACGGAGAGAAGCTCGTTCGACGCTCGACCATCAGGCGGGTAGCGACAGAAGGAGGACAGGGGGTAAGGTAAAAGACAGGGAAAAGTGGCGGAAGGAGAGACGGGTAAAGAAAGGTGCTTTTTCCACGCCATGTGCTTTAAACGCGATCGTACTCGAGCTCGCCAGAGTAGAGAATAGAAAATTGAAGCCGTCTACAGGTTCCTTGGTTGCGCCATATCGCCTTTGTTTAACACGCCAGTCGGTTGAAACAAAACAGAGAAAACATCGGGTAAACGCGTGAATACCATTACCAGAGGGTAGAGTAACACGATACAAAGGCTAATGAACGAGAAAGGTGAAAAATAAATTCTGAACGGAGAAATATAAAAATCGTTCAGCCGGATGATGTTAAGTTCTAACAAGGAGGTTCAAGCCTGTTATCTTTTTGACGAGTTTCTTCACAGATCCATCAGTGGTTTTACGTACTTCTCGATGGTTCCCTATATATCTTATGGTTTTTATCGTAACACCTGAGTTTGGGTATAAGAACGTAAAGCTTGAAAGTGCAGCTTGATAATAAGGAGGGAGTGAATTTCAGCTAGAGACGAGTAATTGAAGAGAATTAAACGGTAAGATAGTGATGACAGTAAAGACGGTTGTATGTAAATCATCTCGAAACGCTCAGTGTGGTCTATAATTCTCAGACAATGAGGCAAGGAGCTTCTTTACCTAATGAGAAGCTGCTTGCCAACCTGTCTAACCAAATGACTGAACATCAGTCACGGGTGCTACGGAATGAGAAATTGCCCGAAGATTGAGATCGAGTGGCTTCACCTCAGAGGATTACACGCCTCGGAATTTCTCCAATATGTCTTACTTCTATGAAGGATAAATACAGACACCTATGTAGATTTGCATCCAGTTTTCCTCTTCGAGCATGTACGTCTGCTAACGCGTACATTCAAATACATTCGGCAATTTCAAAGAACACGAACGCGTACGTGTTAACACACCGAGCTACTGAATTCGGGTGGATCCGAAATTCCAGGATCGGATATGTATAATGAAAAATTCCAAAGCAACCCCATAGGACCCGAATTCTTAATCCTTGGATCGTGACCGCAAAAGGGGTAGCGGAGTATTTTTCGTGAAACTGATAATTGTAATTATTTTTCTAAAACATTTTTTTATTTATGTATTTTGTATGTGTTTTAATATTCAAGGAAAATGCTGAGGATCGTTATTCAGCCGGTAAATTCTTCGCGAATTCCTGCACTCGAGCTGCTGCTATTTCCTGCTCGTTTTTAGTAAACCTAATGAAACCACAATGTAAAGCTGCAAGCCTAGGCGAAGTTGAAACACGCGAATGAAGGTGTATGCATCGTTACGGGAGCCACAACCAGGGCCGTGTTCACCCACACATGGACCAACTAAAATCCTCGTGAAACCTTCAAATAGGGATGCCCTCAGGCACGACGAAATTTTTAGGAAAAGAAACAAAACAAGCATTTTCTCCTATGTGCCGTGAATTCATCGGAATCAGAGCAGGCTATTATTCTATCCCCGTGGAAATGCGCCGACAACAGCCGCGGAATTATAATCCCCGATTTACGTCAGAGATTTTCCAGCGGTTCTGATATTTCTCCAATTTTTGCGACTTCGTTCTATCAATCCTACATTTTCATGGATTTTTCATTCCGCCCAATCAATTACATCGTTTCGCTTGCATTCCCCGGACAGCATTAAAATAAGTAATCAATGGCTGTAAACTGTTTATCAAATTGTAACAATGGATTTGCGATGGGTGCACGTTGAGGTAAAACGGTTAACAGGTTAGCCACGGTGGAAATGCAATTTTCCAAATTTTCACTCTACCTTTCCAAGTTACTAATACCTGGATCGTGTTTAGTTTCTAAGTTCCCCAACTCCGACGTTTCTTGAATTTACCGCCTACATGACGAGCCATAGGTTGTGTGTTTTAAGGACTTCGAGGAAAGTTGGAGGATATCACGCGAACAACGTGAACGCGTATGGGAGAGGGGAAAGGGGGGTTAAATATTCGGTAGTTCGTGTAAGCGATTGTGTAAGTTAGCCGGTAATCGTCTTACGAACTTTCGAATGATAATTAATTCCCAAAGAAGGGCGCGGTAACGAGCTTCTTACACAACGAGAGTCCGTTTTAATTATACATCATTGTTCGGTAACACGGGTGCTCTTCGGATTTCGCAAACCCATCGGAATAAATTAAAAGCGAAACCTCAGACTAATGAATGAAATTGAATCTTATTCGAAGTGAAAGTATCACGATTGTAAATATTCTACTGTCAATAAAATTGTTTCAAAAAGTCAAACTGTTAGACATTTTTATTACACCTGTCGATTAAAGATGTGTAAAACGGACGTCAGCTTCGTATCGAAAATTCTGTAACCATCAAATTATAAAACTCGATGATCCCGCAAACTGTTTTAAACGAGTTAACTCCCGAAGCTGATGCGACCATAGATGGTTGACTTAAAATAACTACTGGAACCCTACAAACTGACCGCCAAGCTTGGTTAAAATTAATGAGCATAACTTTTGTGTAGTTATATGCAAACGACCACCTTATTCGTGTAGGCTCAATCGAGTTTCCTGTGAAACGAATCCGCTTAATTACGTGTTTCCGGGCGAAATTCACGGTGACCGAATTTCATTGAATTCCTGGGAGATCCTTCGTTTAATCGCAGTTTCATGAGTAGAGAAATTAACAAGGCTTTTTTACCTTTAGAATAATAGCACGATTGTGGAATTGTTCGAATCGTTTGCTGTTTATGAGAGAACGTTTCGAGAGAACGTGGTAGACGTTTTATCAAAAGTAATGCTTCACGAAGCGAATGGGCTTTGCAACAAGCTGCACGATCATCAACAATGACGTTTAATGAGTTCATTAAATAACGTACCTCGTAAACTGCTCCGAGAGGCATGACGAGGCAGGCGACCATAAGATCCGCGACGGCCAAACTGACGATTAAATAATTCGCCACCGACTGCAGATTTCGCTCTAGCAAAATCGCTGCAATCACGAACAGGTTTCCTGGAACAAAATTCACGTTTTACGATTAATGGCAACATTTTTGCGCTCGGTGATTAAAACATCGAGCAATTTCGCGAAACTAAAACGTTGATCTCTGCTTTATTGTATCAAAGTCAAAAGGATAATGGATAAAATTAATTCCGGCGCATGCTTTGTGCCAGTCTACGGTAATTTTTTTCGAAGCTCGCTCAGCCCGACAGTTTTAATCAGCGATCCGGTTAGAAGATACGCGGAGCCCAACAGGCTCACGTAAATAATTCATAAGCTGATTACGAAGGATTCTCCGAAAGGACTGCACCGAACGACTTCCCATTCCTCTCGAGAAATTTCACGTATCACTCGTTCGAATTAATAATCCCCCGACTAGAAACTCTTTCCCCTTTTTTTCTCTCTTTTCCTTTGTGCATTATGTCAGGGACAAAGTACTTGTCACGAGTTCCAGGAGTCTTTAGTTTAAGAATTTTTAAACGCGGAACTTTCAACAGGGATCGTAATACCTCGCCAAGTTCACGAACTTCTTCATCCTGTAATCTTTCCTTTTAAACAGACGTCCTTTGCATCATATACGAGTAGGTACAACCATACCAGCTGCAACTCATACATTTATTCATACAAGACTGATATCTATTTTATTGCTCTGGCGATAAGCAACACGAATAATTATATGTAGAATGAACATTTGCATCGTAAGTCGCAAGAAAAATCACAGTAACATCAATTATTTTGAAATTTAAATGTACAAGAGCACGGCAAGATATTGTGGTAGTTAGCTAGAGAAGTAGTATTAGTCGGTGTGTGGGCAGACATATGGATTTGAATTGAACAGTGTATAGATATTCGGATAAGTAGTATAGGTCCTTGTGTGGTCAGACAAGTAGTATGTCATTTTATAGAGTGGGGCAAGTAGTATGAATCAATATGTAGGCAGACAACTGTAAATACATAAATTAATAAAATTAACAGAACAGTGCATATTTAGATAAGTAGTGTAGCCACATGTGTGGTCAGACAAGTAGTACGTGATTCTGTTTTGGAGTGCCAGGCAAGTAGTATGAATCAATATGCGGGCAGACATGTGTAACACGACTGTATATATATATATAAATCAATAAGCTTAACAGAACAGTGTATATTTAGATAAGTAGTATAGGCCCGTGTGTGGTCAGACAAGTGGTACATGGTTCTGTTCTAGAGAGCCAGACAAGTAGTATGAATCAATATGTTGGTAGACGTGTGGAATACGATTGTGTTGAATCAGACAAGTGATAATAGATGATAGGTGATTGGATAAGTAGAACATATCGCCGCATGATCAGACAAGTAGAATCTGATCATATATCACCAGACATCCATCATTAACTCACCATGTTCCCTCTAATTTAAATTTCAATGAAAATTCATGGGCGATCAGTTGATTTTCACGTGAAAAATGTAAACCAATAAACGCAACAAACGCGGAGAACAATTCGCAATGTACACTCGTGCATTATCCTCCCGTCATTAAACAATATTTTTGAAAGATTAATCCTGAACGTCACAACGTATCGATTGTCATCGAACGACGAACAATTAACGCGTTCAACACAGAACAAACAAAAATGTTTCGGACGTTCATTGGAGATGAAATCCCGTTGAAATATTTCCATTAAAATCGCGGAATATCAGCGGCTGAAAAATCTCGCGTCATCAACGTAGCTTTCTCGTTTTAAATCGTTCGTTTCCTCTTAGTAAATTCACGATTAATGGATACGAATCGATCTTAACCTCACCAACACCAGACGATTCATCAACGTAAAATTCGTCTGCGTTCATAATTTATCGCACGCTGGGCCTCGATGTTGACCGCAGGAGTACCGGATGCTGCATCGAGGCTGCACAGTCAAGCGCAAGTTAAATTGGTTCCTACACGGCTTAAATCAATGTTGAAATTAACGGCCTGACGTTACAGGCGTCATGGTTTACGTTAAATGGTTTTCTACTCAATTTGAATCAACGGCGTGCTTAATGACGCGGCCGTATGAGTTTTACGCAACGTCGAATCAAACAATTCTTTTCTTTTTTATGGACAATAACTTTAGTCTTTCAATCCTGGTACTTGGAAAATTGCAATTTTCTTCCTTTTCTTTGTGCTTCCTAATTTTGTTCGTTTATGTACCTTCATTTGGAAGATAAATTCTTGGTACATGATTAAGATACGCGAGTATCTCTCTACGGGCTTTTATTACCAATGAACAGACGACAACGTGAAAGCGGAACGTGCCCACGTGTCTCCTCGACTGAGACGTTTCTGTTTCTGTTTTCAAGGCAAAGCTTGCGAACTCACGTGGAATACCCAAGAGCCGTTCTCACGAGCTTGAGAACTGCTCTTAAATTATTCAATCTGTTCGTTGAATGCAAGTATCCCGAAGCCGTCCGATCGATAAAACACAAGTTACGTTACCGAAGAAATTGTACCCTTCTTCTTCCTCGCGTCCTTAGCTGAATCTCACTGACGGATAACTGTTTTTCTTTCGTTTTATTACGATTCTTTCGAGCGATTGTATGCGTGAAATAAAATTCAGCATGGATCAGCAGGAAGGGAAGATTTCTTTTTTCGAGAGACGATCGTAAAACGGCCGAGAAGAAATTGAGAAATCGTGCGGTCGCTAAGATGAACGGGAAACCCTGATGGGGGAGGACAAAGCTGGGAATCGAAGATTGCCAAGGTAGCCGATGTAAATGGCCGTCCATCGGTCCATCGATAAGTTTTATGATGATGGTATCACGGAATACGAATTCTTCTTACGCCCAGTGCGTTTGAAATTATCAGAAACTTCCAAAAATAGAAACACGGATGACTGTGATTGCGAGTACCACGAGATCATCGTGGCATGAAATTATCTATCATCGGTGATTATAGCGATAATTATTCGAGAACGATGCAACACGGTGTCGCGTGGTGGCCAGTTCAATATTTTACCAAACCATAACGGCGAAAGGTTATGGATATCGGGTAACCGGTGCGCGTTCAGATTAGCAATTTAATCGCTAATTACACGAACGCGAAGGGAGATCCACGTAACAACGTTTTCCAGTTTCGGTGAAACGAGTCGAATCCGTTCCGTTAAACTGACAATTAATCTCAGCTACCGATTGTAGCTCGTCAAAGCGAATCGATGTAGTTTTATAAGCTTAATGGAATAAAACTGTAGAGAATAATTCATCTGATATTCTGTACCGTTTTACCGCAAGCGAATACAATAAAAGGGACGTTTTATTGTATCATAAAATCATGACGAATTTCTATTCTCTGAAAAGTTCATCGAATTTTCGTTTCAACGATGCTTCGAAGCTTCATGAATATGTCAAAGTCGTTAGACTGTCAAGCGTCTGTGAAATTCCCCGAATTTCTGCATAGCAGCGAACTATTCAACGGACCGTTAGTTAGCCAGTGAACTGTACTAATAAGAGAATTTACAGTCAGACAACTTGGAGAAAACGAGAAGCATCTGTACGGATATGAATATGCATGCGAAGAAACTCTATCGAGCGTCCTTGTCACAGCCACAGTTGCTCATAATCCAGACACTTTTCCGTCCAAGTTTAAATCGCATTTGACATTTAGGACGCGTTTCCACTGGCAGGATAAATGAGCTGCAAATCAGTTCGGACAGTAAGTTCTTGGATTTCTGATTCGATCGATCTACGTCCATTAGCAATGCGAATATCATCGGATTGATCGTAAATGTGAAAGTTCGAGTATGAAGGTTCGTGACACGATTATACCGACGATATTCGAATAACTTTTCGAGTCAGATAAAAAGAATAAATCATGGATTATAAAATGATTTTTTGAATTCTAGTCGTCCTAGAATTCCTCTATCTTAAACAAACGTCCTGGAAAAATGTTCTCCGACGAATATTTCCTGAACAAGCCTCGTGGATACAGCGTAAGTTTCCAGCTGGAAGAATTTCCAGTCCACCGGTGGTTTGCTCTCGCTCTAATTAAACTGCTCCGTTGTTGCCACAAACCACCGCAACTCATATTTCCAGCCAAGAAGCTGTATTACTTTTTCCTCGTTAGTTTCTATACTCGGACGTTTCCGAGATTTCTCTCAATTTCGTCCCCTGTCATTCTTCCTATTACTTCTTTCGCATTGTTGCATCGCATCGAAAGTAATAAACATTTTAACTGGGACGCTTTCCAATACAGAACATTCTTTCATTTTTTAATTTACTTATTGGAATCAGATTTACGGTAGCACCCTCCAGTGACACCCAAGGTGTTCGATATGTTAATTAATTCCAAGTATTATATGAAAATGGAAGCAGTATTCTTAGCATCACAAGTTACTACTTTCATTTACAGAATAGTTATCTGGAAAGCACGAATGGATCGCAAACAGCTTTCCATCTGAAATTAAAGTTAAGCCGAAGTCAATTCGAGACGTAATTCAACCAAGCAGGATCCTCTTAGATCTGAGTCAATATTATCCTTTGATCATAGTTTTCAGTTTGACAAACATACCCGCTAGCAAGAAACCGATCGACGGCCAACGAATTGAACGAAAACCGTACAACTCGTTTGTCCAAAATATCCGATGAGATAAGAATTCGAAATAAAAATTTCCTTGGAAATATGAACATAAAATCTTTCTTTTCTTAAGTCATATTTGACCCCGTTACCTTGTGACTACCACGCCATTCACTGTTCTAAGGTTAATGCTGTCGTGTCGTAACAGGCGGAGGACTGTCAGCTCGGTTTAACGTGGCATAAAGGTTCACGATTCTTTTCTACACAGCTTAAATAGGCCATTCAGGGTCCAGGACGTCTAAACTACCTTCCTTCTGCCTGGCTATTGCGAACACTGAAGGACGCGGTCGATATAAAAGCCAACGTCTATTCTCGCTATCCTCGACGTGAAAAAGACATCCTGCTTTCTGAGAGGATCTCATATACGTTATAGGAGAGACCGTGATTTCGTCCATATAGCTGCCTGATGCAGCTAAATCGAACATGTCAATTGAAAACGGGGAAATTCTACGATTCGGATGACTTCGATTCGAGAAGTAGAATGTTTCTTTGTCGATACGTACGATAATATTTCCTTTCACCTATCGCTGCTTCGAAAGGGGCATCCTGCTCCTTCAGGGGATAGTTTATTAAATGAAAATAAATTACGTCCTTCGAATATGGCTTTGATCCAGATAAAACTTGTGATTGAATGCGGAAAAATTCTATTACCTATAGAATTCCATTTCGAGAAAAGAAAAATATTTCAAAAATTAAACGAAGGATATGAAGTAGAATTATGCTTGAATTGCTCCTGGAATACAATAATAATAAATATTTCAACCCAATGATGTCATCAATCTTTCCATCCATTGTTCGAACGATTGTACAATAATCCGTTATCGAGGGTGCGAATTCGTTAACGATATAAATTAATTAGCCGATGTTTGAACGGCTATCGAATCGAGGGAGCAACGTAACACGCGGACGGTGTTCATCGAAAACAATCGTCGTCGTCCACCGTCTGGCTGTGATTGTTATTGCGGCAAATTACCTCGTCAAATGAGACCAATCGACCACGTCACGTTTTATTTTCATATTTCGCGGTGGCAGCCGGAAATTACGCCACGCCTGCTGGGAACTGCAAACCAGCAAGTGCTACCAATGCCGGCACGGTAATTGGCTTTTCAAAGTATTGACCGCTACGGGAAAGTTTGAAGGTCTGCCTCGGACTGGACCAACTGTGTTAGCGGACATATTGCAAAGAATTTGTTCAAATCGAAGGTTGACAGAATTTCAAGGAGAATAGACTTAAGGAAAGCACTCGGAAATACCTTGATGAGAGAAAAGTTCGAAGAAAACAATCAAATCTGACGTTTGACTTTTGCCAACTTTAAAGTCACGCTTTCGTTTAATTGAATTTTTAAATTTTCTGCTGATGGTTGGGAAGGTAAGTAGAAAATTTCGCTAGAATGCAACACGTATCCAATTGAGAAGGAAACAGCAGCTAGGGAGTGGAGAAAACAGGGAAAAACGTAATTAAGGATCCTTTCAGGACGCTCCTAATCTCGTTAGCAATTCTTAGTAACGTTATGACGCCAGAGACACAGCTCCACTCGGAAAATCCTATTTGCCTTTGAAGCAGCCAGAAATTAAGTAATTTGCATCGCATCTGCAACTTATCAAACAAATTGACCGTGTGTCGAGAGAGGGCTATGCGATCTGCAGACACTTGTCGCCTGTTTAATCTCGTTACCTTCTTCAACCCGTTAAATTATACCAAAAGCCTGTTATTTCCGCCTGCATCCGGCCAGACACTGTCGTCTTGAGCCTGTGTAATTAAATTAATTAACGTATTCGCTATAAAATTGGATAACATCGTCTGGTAATTTCATCAACGAGAAAGTGTTGCACAGCGTTCATTAGCCTTTTCGATGCACCGATGATAAATCAAAGATCGCGGCTGCTTTTAATAATGCAGTAAGCTGACTAAAATATAACTTCCATCAGGATGTAATAATATGCCAGGCAATCGTAAATCACGTCCACGAGCCGGGTTAGATCCTTATTAAACGCGATAAATTTTGTGTATAGTCCCGAAGAATGAGATGGATGTTCATAAAGAACGACAGATCGAATTTACACTGAATTTTAAACGATAATCCGTCGAATAAGTTTTGATCCCGTCATCGAATCGGATGTTATAGAACGTCATCTTCGATATCTTCCTCGATCGTGCTGCTCTAAGCGCACACCTGCAAATGTCACGTTGTTTCCCCCTTCACTTCCGATAATATATTACGCGTCACGGAAGTGTGTCAGCTTTAAATTAATCTTCCATTGTACCTGCGTACTGATACGCGCGACTAGCTTGTCGTAGTATCAATTACGACAACGTTGTATCAACCGAGACGTACCGTGAGCATTGCGAGTACAATAACCGAAGCAGAGCGAGTAATTGATTAGAAACCAGCATTGAGAGCAAATCAAGGTTACCGATGAATTACCTTGAACGCTAGCTTTCGCTTTGAAACGAAGATGCTTAACAAAATGTCATTGAAAATAGAGTTTTAATGAAGAATTTAGAATATACTTAAATAAAAGAAAATAATTTTAGCATTTCGAAAAATAAAATTCGCGAGTATTTTGATTTGGAGAAGAATGAGTGATTAAACAAGTAGAATAAGCCTACGAATGGTCAGGCAAATAGAATAAGCCTGCAAAAATTTTGATTTGGAGAAGAATGAGTGATTAAACAAGTAGAATAAGCCTACGAATGGTCAGACAAATAGAATAAGCCTGCAAGTGGTCGGGCAAGTAGAATAAGCCTGCGAATAATCAGACGTGTGGAAGGGAATTATAAATGTGAGCGAAGTATGTAAGTATAGTACATCCATATAATTAAACAAGTAGTACAAGAACGTTAATGGTTAGACTAGTGAAATATGACCATAACCAAACAAGTAGTATTACTCCGTGCATGGTCAGACGCATAGTAGTGAGATGCCGTAGGCAGTTATATAAACGGATTAGGAACCACTAGAGCGTGCTTTATTTAACTCCTGTACAACATTAGAGTTTCTAATCTCAAATTCGAACATTTTCGTAAACTACTGTTTGCTGGAACCCAGTTACCACGCGTTTAGAGGCAAAGCTCTAAACATTACTATTTTAACAGGGAATAGATCTGGTTAATAATTTCAACCTGAAATTTGTCCCTTAAAATTTTCAATCGTATCACAAACACAATCTTATTCTACCTGTGACATTCGTTTTTCATAAAACTTTCGCAGCTTCAATTCGCGAGAATTCGAGGCAGGAAACAAATAAAACTTTCAACAACGATTCTAACAACCTATCGAATTTCTTGGTGAAAAAGTTTCTGGAAAAGAGGAACAGCGCTGTGAAAAAGGTTGAAGAAAACTTACCGAAAACGGTGACGAGTATCAGGAGACCGAGCACCAGAGCCCTGAGGATAATCGAGGCATCGGTGAACACCAGCCCGTCCGTCGACGAGTTTCCAGCCTGGTTCACGTGTTCCTCCATGACGCACGGAGATATATTCCCTTGTCCTGGCAGGCTCTTCAATGTCCGCTGGTTATCATCTTAAATAATGTACCATGGTCCGCCGTCACTACCAGATCCGTAGATATGAATCTCCTATTCTCAGGAAGCTTGGCTACTCGACTCCTCGGGAACGGAATTAATGTCTAACCGTTCGAACTTTAATACGCGTGTCATCGACTGACATTCTCATTCTCCATCCAAAACTTTTCCCAGTTTCCATTTCGGGGACAGCCTGACGTTTTTGTTCGTCGAAGAATGGATACTCCTTTCGATTTCGAACGTCGATCGTCGATTCTGGAACAGAAATTAAATGTACTCGTTAGAGAAATTTTCACGGATTAAACCGATTCGTCGATGAAATCTCCGGTGAAAGAGAAGCGGAGAAAGTTGCGACGGAAGTATCACCAGTACGGCAACACGCAAAACCAACGAGATTGGAGCAATCGATCGACAATTATCGAAATTGAAACTGCGACTGCCAGCGCAGAGATCGTGCTCGGTTCTAAATACAGTGAAAAAGAGCGCGAGAAAAAAAAAATAGACACGTCGACGACGAACGAGTATCATAAAATTGCTTGCCGAGGTCACGCGCGCTATATTTAATTGCTCGATAGACACGTTTCATTAACTCGGCGCGGTATTCATCGTCTAGATTCGATTGTCCTGCGAATCGAATTGACGTTCCGTGAATTACTGTTCCACGAAACTGCTCGCGAGTCGATGACACTTTCGAAACACCGCCATCAAACTTCATCGTCCATTTCGTAGTTTCCTATTCGGGGAAAAATACCAACGTTTTCCCTCGAATTAATGCGAAACGAGTGACGTGGATGAGGCTACATTTCAGTTCGTATAAATGAAAGTTGGCGCAGTGAAATTTTTCCTCCGTTCATGACTATTATGATTATAAAATAATTGTTAGATTCGTGATATCAATTTTCAGCAGGCCCAGAAATAAATAATTAATTTGATACCGGTACGTTTTGCGATGCTTATCAAAGTATCCCTCGTATTTCATATACATTTTTTTTTCTCTTAATAATACATGTTTGATTATTCGCATTTAAACGTTACTCCTTTTAATCCGGCGCTTTAATCGCAGGATTGAGCTGTACAGTTGATAAACGTAGTCACCGTTTTCTTAATGGACGACATTTCGAGCCAGCGAATGAATAATACGATTGCGAAACGCTGGTTTTGAAAGCAGTGCTTTAGCCGCTCATTATTCCCGGTTACTGTTGCTTTTCATTCTCAAATAATAAACGTTGCGAGAGGACGATTCTGATTACCGTTTATTTAGAAGAAATTCATTGAATATCCCGCTTCTGCGACGGACGAGCGAAAGCTTTCTCGAAATCCATTAGCAAGTTTTCATACTGACAATAATTAGCAAAGAAATGATAAGTAATAAATATATCCAGGATATATTATTTTTTTGCATCTTAGAACATTTCGAGATTGCTTTGAAACAGGACAAAAACGTCCTTGCTTCCTTCCTGAATCGAATGTTATAGCGAACGCTGCTTCGAAAGCCAGATCTTAATTGCGCCATTGTTTCAACGGCACGGTTAATCGAATAAAGCGGCAACTCGAGCTGAGAAGCCAAGTATTAATTAGTTTATTTTACGAACGATCGGGGCGAGAACCTCTCAGCCTCTGACGAGCTCAATCTACTAAAGGAAATCAATGTTTTCGCGTGAATGATGATTCTTATCTGATTGAGCGTTCCTTAACTCTGAAATTTAATTCTAAGCGTGTCAGACAACCTGCCATCGTTACATATTCATTTTTATTTTCTTTATTTCTCCTAAATAAACTCGGTGTCTTGATAAATAAATGTTTGCAAATTTGCATCATTTGAACCTTTTGCAATTTCCCTAGAATTCTAATTGTTAGAAGTTTGAGAAATACCATCTGAGAAATCAAAACGGTTACAGACGAAATAGAACGTCGGTGGGAGATTGATTATGAGAAATTGAAAATGAATGGTCGTCTAGGAGATAGGAAAAGGGATGACCGAATTAGAAAATCGTTATCGGTTCAGAGCTGTTTCTAAGCGGCTTCGAGTGGCCTTCGAAAGCTGGCTGAGAGCCGAGCCAGTCGGTAATCCGCGGATCCCGTAAGCTTCTGTAAACGGAAAGTCCTCCGAAGAGAAGGGAAGTTAGTTACACGGGGGGCTAATGGAAGCCGGTGGCGGCGCAGCTAAACAATACCGGCAGCGACACGCTAACAAAGTTGGCCAGGCCAAGAAACGTAATTAAGGCTACAGAAGTTAAGTTAATTTGGAAATACCGAGTTACCGTTGCCTTCGACTGAAAGGGAGTCGCGGCTGAAACTAAGGGGCTCGGCTGTAAATTAATTCGATGCCATACCATACCCCACCACTCGCCAAGTGTTTACGGTGTACAGTGTATGCTACACGAGAGTCAATCAAGTGATTGTTTTTGTCAACGGAAGATACTCGGTAACTTCTTACCCGAATGATTTAACTCGAACTCGTTCGATAAATTCGCGTAGGAACGTTTAATTGCAAAATGCAATCAGAAGGGTAGAATGTATGAAATAATGGGAAACAATAAATTTATCGTTGTCTCGTTTATCTCTGCCAGTTCGATTACTTTGTCCCTAAACACATTACGCCCATAAAGTGACCCAGGGTGCCAATAAACGCGCTGTAAAATCACGGTAGATGCTGCAACAAGAAAATATCACCGATGATGTTTCATGGTAACGACATAACTTAAACTCACGACATTGGCCAAAGTCCAAGAAAATGAAAGAACAAAGAAGCGGTTATACGGTACAAGAAAGTTGTCGCAAGGGGACCCAGTTTAATCCATAGTTGTTAGAATGATCTGTCTGTTGGTAAGTATCCCTTTTTCCTGCTGTACTTTCCGGCAGCCTCGTTGCCTTCGACAGAATAACCTGTATCACTGGCAAGAGTTTCGCCGATATATCATGGCGGACCGGCTTCTTCGTCGGTTGAACTACTTCTAATTAAGCAAAACGTCGGACACACGGTAGCGCGATAATACAGATTAATGTAAGAACGCTGGGCGTGTAACGAGCCAATGAAAGTAATTGCGTTAATAGCCGCAAAGCCGGGACCGTCGTTATCTGAAAGAACTGGTCATAAACGATAATAACGGTGGAAACTTTATTTTCCACGCTCTTGAACGCGAAATAACAGATTCGCACACGCTCCCTCCCTCTCTGTGTGCGCGACGAGTAAAAGTTTTAATTAAATGGGAAACTGCAAAATCGTGGCTGTACGTTACACTTTAATCTGATTCCTGATCCCTCGGACTTTCCCTGATTTAATTCGCACACCGGTCCTCGTGTAACACGCGCACGCGATAATTTCCAGGTAATTCTTTCTTTTTTTAACTTGCCACGCTATCAGCGCACTCGTACGAGCTATCAGGATTTCAAATCATCGGGAAGCCAATATCCGATGAAACCATAAGCTTCCTTTCTCTGTTACCTACCGTGAATCACGAGAAAATAAAATCGCGCGGACCGTCGAATCCTTTCTCTTCCTTATTATAATTTACCTCAGACTTTTTCGTCCTTTCTTTATGTAAATGTTCTTCTTTTCATTTGATTATTCTAGACTTTAACCGACCAGCACTCTTGACGAAAATAGATGCCATCACTTTGCCTTTCGTACCTTATCGATCCAAGATGATTACACAGTTGGCGAAGGAATATTTTTGCTGAGGTCTCTAATATCAAATCTACCGGAAGATTTTCAATCGTTTCACTGCGTTCTTCTGCAATGGAACTGCTTCATTTTTATATCGTTTCACCCGCTGTTATTCCAGGCGAACAAACCGAGGCATCGTTTCGAGCTTCAGGCGACGATTCGTCGCAGATGCGTCGATCGTAAACAGTGATAGAAATAAAACCAGATTTCCGGAACGGTATTCTTTCATTTTATTTATTTAAAATCGCGTACTACCATTTTCTATCATTCCCATATATTTCGCAGCTAATTCATACTTGATTCTCGTATAGCAAGTGTCATGCTTTTTCCTTAAAAGATCTCTTATTGTATACCCGTCTCCGGTGGATTTGAATTATGAAGAGCCGCTGTATCCCGGCCTTCGAAAGCCATCCTGACACCAGGTATCACCATTGTCGCGAAACTTTACGATTCGCCATGATATTTTTCCGCTTGCTCCCTGGAGAGGTGTCTGCGAATGGAGAGCGTGTTGTTCGCGAAAGATTGGAAGCACACGGAGAAAGAAGGGACAGAGGAAACTTCCTTCAGTCACGGCATCTTATAAATAAAATATCGATCCACCTGCCGTGTTTAGTTTTTAGCAAATGAAACGCGTACGGAGTTTAACTCTCGTTTCGCGGACGAAGAAGGGGCTTGTAAAACGCGGAACGCGTGATTTTTCATCCTGTCGACGGAACGAGCGCAATAAAAGGACCCGGGTCGGTCGCAAAACTTAAATTGAGCAATAATTTCCGAAGAAAAAGCCGGCACGCGAGGAGAGCACTGGACACGGCCTTCCGTTTCGAGTTTTGTCGAGGTTCGCCAGCTGAATATTCATGATCGGAATTGTGAAAGAAGGCAATTAAACCGAGAGAATCGTTTCGTTTCATCGGGAAAGGGGTGTCGGCATAAAGATCGCCCTGGGAACGCCCTGAAACTACGTTATTGTAAACGGATGCGCGGAGACGAAAGCTTTCTCTTCAAATGAAGACACCGCGTCATCAGGGAAATGGATCTCCCGTGTTTCTCCTCGAGACTTTGTATACCTCGAGCAGAAAAGATTTAGACGTTTGTGCTTGAAATCTGACGTTGACAGGATGTTTTTCAAAGCATTATAATTAAAAGGTTCTTTTCACCCTTTGTGATATAATCATCGACACCTATGCTACTGATTCGAAGATGCTTTTAAGCCGCGTGTTCGCGGGTTCATGAAGGAGAAAACTTTTAAACTATCAGCATAAGTCTAAATAACCTGCAGCAATACGTATCCAGGTAATTTCGCCGCGTTTACACGTAAGACCGCAAAGTTTGCCGTTAAATCACAGGGCAGACGCTCTGCGCTGCACGATAGCGCGAGACAAGGCTCGTGGTTGTTAAGCGCATTCACCAAGAACTTAGTTAAGCGAGCAACTTTGGTATCAGTAGAATCAGAGACACGGTCGTGCACCTATACACGCATGGGGTTACACGCGATGATAGAGGGAAAGGATCAAAAGTGGGCTGATGTTACCGATCTTCGTCAGACGAACTGAACGAGTATCTCTGGATTAGGATATTGGGATAGTTTCGT